GGTAGCAACCATCATCAAAAGTTGCAGCCAGTATCCTTATCCCCAACCTGTTAATTCCAATAAAGTAACAATTATTGGTAATAATCATGGTAATTATCAACATTCAATCATTGATTATTTTCATTTTATTAATTTTTAAAAGTAACATCCACTCTTGTGATAGATATTTTTTTAGATCTTCATCAGATTGATTTAGATATACTACTAGATGAATTTTGAATCCTGTCATTTATCAGTCAAATGATATGTCACGGAGGTGTAATTACATATACAAAATAGAAAATCTGACTTGTGTAACAAATCAGGTTTTTAAAATATTTCATTATTTTTATAACAAATTCAAACATCATTATTAATCAAAGATAAGGCTATGACATTATAGCTTTCTAATGAGCCCTCTCCCATATTTATAGAGGCTCTCTATGTCAGGCTATATTTATTCAAAAACAGCATTACTTTTTACTTCAAAGCTAAGATTTTTACCAATATTACCTTTACAAACTTGATGAGTGGTTGAAGAAATGTAAAATATTGTAAGTTTTCATTTAGGTATAGCTTTATGTGGATTGTTGTTTATTAAAATTTAGTGAAAATGGCAAAAAACTCCAAAAAATATACTAAATTTTGTTATCAACACAAAGGAAAAAATTGTGGGCAAGAGATTATCAGGAGTCATAACCAAAAATAGATAATTAATTTCCAAATGTGGTAATTTGTTTGATAAACTTTAACATCAAGATTTTTTTCTATTCTATTAATAATCTCTCCTAATTTTTTTCTAAAAGTCTTGAAAAATCTGTGTCTCAAATTTGGTGGAGATTGGTGAGCAAAAAAGGTTTAAAATTAAGGTTTGTGGCTAATTTTATTAACAGAATTTTGACATTGATCACCAGAAAATTTTGGAAAATACACTTCCCAATCATTTAATGTGACACATTGTTCGACTATTATTATGTATTAAAATTATTTTTTATTTATTTATATGGATACTATAGTTGTGATATTAAATATCTTGAGAAATGAAATTACATTTAATAGTGATATTATATATCTTTGGATTTTTTTTCATTTGAAATTTGGATAATTTTTAATAATCACAAACATACATTATTATTTATTCCTTATCTTTTCAAATCAATGTTTTCATTTTTTTATATCATTAACAAGTTGAAGTACTTATCAATACATCAGGAAAATAAATCTTACATAAACCTACGTAGGGTTCAGAATTGGCCAGCATTATGTCGATATTTTGGTAATT